TCCATCCTCTTTAAAGTGTCAAAAACTGTTGACAATCCACAACCGATAGTCGCGGCAATAGTTCGGTAACTATCGCCACGTTGGCGGCAAAAAATTATGCCTCTGCGTTGTTCTGTTGTTTATCAGCGGATATTTCAGAGGTCTTTGCAGGTTGAAAGGTCTCAGCCCTATACTTTTGCCTCATCTAATAATTTAGCGAATGAAATATACCTGAATGATTGCGACAATATCCTGTATCAGAATCTGTATATCTGGGACAATCACTAACAGGGCATGGATTTAATTACATATTTTTTTCATATAACTTCTGATGCTTTGTACAGCCAGTAGTATATGTACAGGTTTTCCCACAAATAGAACCATCTTTCTTAAAAATATATGGTAAGTAACACAACCCATTGTAAGTATTTTAGGATAAAAAACCCTCTTTCACTTTTAATTTCATAATAAAACTATATTTAAATTATTCAGTATTAAGATAAGTCATAAATGACTTTTCATACTCACATTATGGACATATCAGGCCAATTGATAGAGCATGAGCCTGAGGGTATAGTTCACAAAAACATCTACAATTCTAAAATTAATTGTATAATAATTATAAATAGGCCAGTATATCGTAAATTATTACTCAAAGAATATATGCATTGGAAAGAAGAAAGGCTTTTGATTTCGCCTTTACATGAATTGTTAATATTAAGAGGATATCTTTCTTTTATCTTCTATCATATTTGGAGTATTGTATCAGAGAAATTGCTAACAGTAATTAACGAAAAAATAAATCTATTACAAATTTTACTCAAAGCTAATTGGCATAATTACATTTTATGCTAACTATTAAAATTATGTTGAGAATGTGAAGAGACAAAAGCTTAGAGGAATAACGTACTCATGAAATTTCTCTATCACTCAAATTTAGCTTTATCAAAGCATAGACTAAGTACTTTATATGATGCGTTCACTAAAATAAATGTTTTAGGACAGAAACAAATATTAGCTCTAGCGCGAATATTTTACTAAAACGTGATTATTATTCTTAGCCTTGGAATGGGAGTTTTATGGCTATGTATTTTTTTTGCATATCCTACTACTCGCAATTTTCAAATATATATAAAAGATATCTCAGCCAAAGCTCGTAGTCTCATAAAGAGCCTGCAATAAGTTATAATATTATTTTTAACTTACTGACCATAAGTAGTGAAATTACGGAATAAATTTTTCGAATTGAACTTTTTCAGATATAGAATAACCTAAGGGTTGCACATAATCTAGTAGTTACTTCATAAGCTATATCTACACAATCATGTTCGCAATTATAACAAAGTACGTTGTAGAACACAAACTCAGTAAAGATATGAGTGATGAAGAACTTAGTCAGCACACTCCAGAATTACTCAAGTTTTTGACAGATAAACTGAAAAGAGACAAAGGCCGTCAGCGCTTCCAAAAAGGGTATAATTTTAGCAGAGAACAGGCATTTGTACTAATTTTTGATCAGAGAATTTGCCGAAGTAGAAGTTAGGTAATCCCTAAAGAAGGAGGGGATGAAGTAGAGGAAGTTAATATATGCCAAATATCTAACATCATCCCAGATAGAGAAACTATCGAAAGTATAGCCCAGCGTATTGTTCGAGATAATCTTGGTGAAAAAGAAGTAAAGGCAATAGTCAAGGCTTTAACTATAACGTTCTCTAATTCTATCGCCACCACATCCCGTCTTAGTAGGCTCTGAAGAGAGTTGCAGAAACTTAATACCTCAGAAAAAATAATCTTTGCTACATTAGACGACAAAACAACCTGCGCATCTAATAAGATTCAAAAGGAGCGTAAGGTTCAATGTGAAAATGAAGGAATTGATTTTTTAGATTACTTTTCATTAGAATCTGTTAAAGAAAGATTAGATTTGTATGATATGTCTAACACATCCGATATGCAAGTCCTAACTGATGTAATGATCATGCTTTGCATCTGTCCCGCTGAAATTAAAGATTTGCGCATTTTTAATGGAAGTGTAACTGGATATTCAAAAAATCGAGAACAGCAGGATAATTCTTGGTATTTAGATTGTTAGAAAGAGATGAAGAGTGGGCTAAACTTCTCCTTACTTGGATTTAGGATGCAATTTCTTCTGGACAGTTGAGGGATCCAGGAGTGTCAGGCGTTAAATGGTTTAATATGTTTTTAAAAAAGGATAGATTTCTTCCTGAAATTGGTAAATCACTCCTCCCTAGCTATTTGCGCAAATTAGGGGCAGTATTTGCGGTCGTATTGAATGGTGCGAAGAATTTATCAGAAGCTATGACCATCGTCAGTCAAGCTCTTCGACATTCGCCAGACAACCATTCCTCCCTAGCGCAAAACTATACTATAGTCAATTTTTGAAAAAGGGAACAGCCTTATAATCAGGCAACGGCATTCGAGCTCTTCGATGAAAACTAATCACATAGATGGGTTAGATAACATTTATTAAATTTTATTTTTTCATTCGCCTAAGATCTAGCATATATAAAATATCACGAAAATGGCCAGAATGAAATTAACCGATCAAAAGCATTCATCTGATAGTATAGCTAGCGAGCAGGAAGTTATCAAATATACAATGATATTAGCCTAGACATTTGGACTAAATGAGCAAAATGCAGAAGTATATAGTGCACTTTCCGGAGAAAATAGGGCCCAGTAATCTTAGCTATAAGTCTAGCATTCTCCTGTCTAAGAAACTTAATCTCGGATTCCATTATACACAATATATAAACATTCAAATAAAATAAACACGTGAACCAAGTTCGCTGAAATTTTGCCAAGAAAATTTAATAAACCATGTAGTCCGTGATCGTTACAAATGTAATATACCACGCTTATGGTTAAAATCTATTCTATTTCAGAATTTGACAATATAATAAAGTCTACATTTAAATTATTTATCCGGCCTTTTCTGTTCAATTGGGTTCTAGAATCAAAGAAATGGAATATCTCATATCGGTGATATTAATACAATGTCTGACAAATATTGCTACTAACCTTTGATTTTTGGGGCGATCTGAATTCCTGCTTTCTAGTAGGAACTTTCACTTTTCCCGGAGAAAATTTTTCCTTTTCTGCTCTGTTCTTCATACTTTTAAACCGAGAAATAGTAGTGGATAATAATTTCTGCAAAAACAGGAAAAGTAAGTGTGAAATCATACTTTATAGATTGTTTGGATAATACTAACCTTTATTTGAAGCATTGTACGCGAGATTTTAAGGATTGACTCTAGTTCATCATATTTTGTTGGGATGTAGAAATCCGCTAAATTGACAGATACATAAAATCCACCTCCAATGTAAATGATTAAAATTATACGTAAGAAAAAATATGATGACAAAAATCCAGGCATCAAAAGTTTGGTGCTAGCATGAAGGACTGGTTTTGATAGCGTTCCGCTACTCTCAGCAGATATCGACTCAAATAAATTTCGATGCATATCCCTTAAGGTCTTTTGTACTTTAAGAGTATTCGAAAGAACCTTTCGTGTATCTTCACTCTTGGAGCCAGTTCGCTCACAAAGTGAAAATTCCCGACCCCAGCACAGTTCCTTTCCTAAATCATGTTTCTGAAAATTGATGTTAGCAAATACATTAATAATTGACATTGAAACCCTTTAAGAATGTTCCATACCGTAAACATCCAGTCAAGGTGATATCCTTCTGTATTACTTGGTGCATCTATAGCTTCTACTCGACGATTCCTAGAAGTTCTCGACACTACCTCACCACTTAGGAAAAATTGTAAGCATTGTTACCGGTAATGGAAAGGTATTTAAAAATAAAAATAAACTTACAAATGACTATCTAGGATAGTGTCGAATACGTGTCTCTTTATAAACATATCAATATCTCGTTCAGAATTTTGTCGCTGAGGGATTCCTTTTGCGATCATTTTGCATCTGATTGAAATTATATATGATGTAAAACTTATTTAACTGCATGTGTATTAATACTAAACTATTGAATGAACTTACGTAAACCTAATTAAATCGAAAATGAATGCAACATCAGCATTTGTGTGATCTTCAATAGATAATAGGATTTCTTCATGAAGGTTTTTATCATCATTTTCAAAAGTATCTTTATCTTCAAAGAGATCATCAGATTCTTCGGGTGATTTTTCTTTAATGTTGTTTAATATTTTTTGCAGTTCAAGAATTGCACCGTGTGTACCCTTGGGCCTTACAATTTCACCAATGATGCGAAGTTGATTACCATCAAGCTGAAAAACAAAAAAAATTAAAAAGATTTCAACTAAAAATCAAAATACTTTAATCTTCATAATATACTTTTGCTAAAGAATATAGATATCTCTCTGCCATAGGTTCCAAGATCGTCCAATTTTTAAGAGAAGTTGAAATTATTGTATTTAATTCTGATAATTCATTTTCTGATAAAAGGTTCGTGATTCTTTGATCAGATAAATCAATGATCTTCCACAAGATTGGACTTTAAAAAAAAACTTATTAGAATCAGGATACCACAAATAACGAAAAAATCGGCATTTATCAAAAAAATATTTACTTTGATGACAATTCATGTCGAATTTTTGGATCATTATTAGAAAACATTGTAGAAGTTAACGATTGATGCTCCCATGCCATTTTATCTAGCCAATCTGGTTTTGGTGTACTGAATTCCCACTCAATCAGAGGTTCTTCAGCCTACGAATACATCCAAAAAGTTTGTGGGTCAGTTTGTATAAAATGTTTTCACGCTAAAAATTAAAATAAATATAAGCACCTCGATTGAACACTCAAGTATTAGTAGCTCATCTTGTTCACGTTGATAATACTCTCTCTCATACGATAAATACTAGTAACATAATAAAAATGAATTAGAAATAAAGTGGCGTCGATATCCAATAGCATATCAAACAGTGTACTCATGCATCTCATGCCGACTACGTTTTTCATTTGACAGGCCTGCTTTGTTGTCATCGTCGTCATCCTGTGATCTCTTTTTTTTTATATCTGTCATTCCTTGTAACAGCTCTGATAATTTTTGCGATGAATATATTGCTTTTTGAGAAGTGTATATTTTTTCTTCTATGCTGGACCCTCTCCGTGAGTTGCAGATCACAGTAACGCTCGTAGAAATTATGGTACCATTCCTTACAACGCTCTAGGATTATCTCTCCTTCAAAAGTATTGAAATTTGTTAAATCCTTGCAAAACGAACTTATACTGTTGGGAACTTTCTTGTGATTAGTTTTTGAGATAACGTCGAGTGAATAAATCCAATCTTCATAAACAGTGGTCCAGGCTGGAATTATATTTTCGGTCTCCAAATGATAGTTTAGATAATGTTTAAGCTTCCAGTCTTGGGCATCTACTTTTTTAAAATAATCGTTAACATCCAAATAATCAGGTGCCAAAAAATGTACGTGGATATTCGATCTTAACGTCGCAGTCATTTTTTTATTCTTGTCAAAAGCGCCTATAACGCGATCAATCGAATTTATTAAGTCGCGATTCTATATCACATGATCAGTAATGGTGTTAGGGTAAAAAACGATTTGCCTCATTGTTTGTACTTTTGGGTAATGTAACTATGCTGAAGTTTCTCATGTCGGCCGGTCTCTGGCGGTGAGAACTTCCCTTGTGTCTTTGGATACTTAGGAGAAGCCATAGCTTCGTGTCGGCCGGTCTCTGGCGGTGAAGTTATGAGTTACTTGTGACTAACAACTGTTCGCGTCAGCCGGTCTCTGGCGGTGACAGTTGATTTATTGATTTTGCTGAAGTTTCTCATGTCGGCCGATCTCTGGCGGTGAGAACTTCCCTTGTGTCTTTGGATACTTAGGAGAAGCCATAGCTTCGTGTCGGCCGATCTCTGGCGATGAAGCTACGAATCAGTGAATATCCAAGTTATTTCTTGGTAATCACAGCCCTTATCAGTCAAATCGGATAATAACATACCACACGGTTAAAATTTATAAACCCGATCAGGATCCTAGGCTATTTAATGCGAGTCCCAGCATAAGTTATTTCTTTGCTCTCGAGATAATTTCTACAAATAATTTATTTTTACACCGATTACTAACCATTATTTACAATAGAAAAATTTAACGCTATCCTGTACATAAAGATCATCAAAGGGACATTGGTTAACCCGCACAAATCATTCAGCACGCATAAAATAAAAGGTCAATCATATCTTTATTTCATTATTTCTTCAAGAAATAGAGCTTCAATGCTAAGCTATTTTTTTCGTAAAATAATATGAGAAAGGGCCGGCCGGCTAAGTAAAAATAATAGAGTAGCAGGATGTTTCAAGGGAGGAAAGGCATAAAAAACACGCCTGCTTGTTAAGCCAGCGAGCCCTTAGACCCTTCGCAAAAAGCGAAAATGGCAGTTCCTTTCCCGCTACTCACTATTAACACTATTAACTGTTTTACTATCGGCCCAAGCACCTATTTTATTCAAGTTACTACCCTTTAAGTCATTAATTCTATGATAATAATTTTTGATCATAACTAGCATCACGGGAATTTATTTCAAATTTGATCTTGCTGATTTGTTCAGCAATAGTAGTGTTGATCTTAGTTTCACGAGAGTTTTTTTCAACGGCATTTTTTCGCTTTACGTCCCATAAGAAGAACCATATGGTGATAAATCCTATACACAAATAGATATTTTCGGGGGTTATCTTCGCAACGACGAAAATTAAAGTAGTGGTTAAAGCCATAAATGGCAGATTTTCCAAAACGATGAATGGGTGCATTTATGCAAAGAAATTCCGTTAGAAATTTAATTATAAGACGTGCGGATTCCTTTGATTTAAGGTGAGTGAAACTAAGTTTGATGAGTTTATTTTTGTGAGACCTTCGTTAATGCCACGTTGGTTTTGCAAGACATCAGAAAAATTGCATCTTTTATAGAGTTATGTTTCGATCATCATTTATTTCACGTAAAGCGGAGAAGATTCGAGAGCGATTTATTTAACTTGATAGAAAATGTAATCATATATTTAAGGTATTAGCATTTCTTTGATTATTAATAGTGTCTATAGTTTATTTCTAGAATTAGAAATGTATTCCCTGACAATTATACAAATCATTTAGCAGACTAAGAATGAACATTAATTCAGTTTAATTAGCAAGAGATTATATAATGCTGATAAATCATAGATCGTTTTACTGGTAATCGCATTGACTCACGAAGTTTAAAAATAAGGTTGGTATTTTTATGAGCATTATGTCCGAAATGTTTATTCTTAGTGAAGTTCATCATCAACAAAAAAATATTTAACATTAAAACGTATTTCTAGTCTATGAGGTAAAAATTAGATTACACGAAGACATGTGCTGAAAATAAATAGCGGAGCTAGCAAGGCTAATATAAAAACCTCAGATGCGGATCATCTTTAACACGGATGTGCTAGCTTCCCAGCTATTCCTTAAATGAGGTTTTATCTTGTTAATATGCGCTGATTGAATAACGACGATCTGATTTTGTATAAGTTTCACCGGTATTTAAATCATAATAATATCCTTCATCATCGTCATCGGAGAACCCATCATCACCCTTTAATGCATTAGCAACATCCTCACTCTGTGAATCATCTTCGTCGTTATCGTAGACATCTTTAAAATCGCATTCATAGCCGGAATCTCGATCATTACTTACATCCAGTAAAGATTTTTCAGGTCCTATGGGACGCTCTTCGAGCGTCTCCTCACATATCTCAACATCTGGTAAAGATTTAGATGTAATAGCATTTTTATTATATAAAACTTCACTTGTTTCATCAACATCAGAAGAATTATCGGTGAATTCTATATCAGGCTTCTTGGCGTAGTGATCTATAATTAGGGTTGTTAAAGTCTTAGGTCCTAGACTTAAAGACCCGGTCTTAAGACTAAGTCTGCAGATCATTAAGTCCAATTTTTTAGACTAATAGAGACTAAGTCCTAAAATAGGTCCTAACCAATTAAATTTTAGTTAAAAAAAATTAAAAATTATATATTATTAAATGTAACGCGTATCATTCTTATATAAAATGCCATTTTTTGTACAATGAGTTCAGAAAACCTTGATAATAATAATCTTATTGACAATAATAACAGTTCACCTTTTTATTTAGACACTGATATTAATGAAAATGAATTAGATATATCCTTTTATAATTTTTATAATAATAGGTTATTTGATGAGACTTCATCCATTACATCAAATACAAGAAGTTCACAAGACTCACGAAATTCACAAAACTCTCAAAATTTACGAAAAACCTCTTTTTTTATAGAATTACATAAGTTATGAAACTTCAACTCATCCAGGAATACCTGTGTGTATGAAATGTAATTTTGCCTTCTCTTCTAAGTCGGGTAATTCTAGTATGGAACGTCATTTATTAAGCAAACACCAAATAAAAATACCAAAAGTTAATTTGGATAATTTCTGATCAACAATCTTTTATAGTTGTAGAAAATGAAAAATTTATCAAAATGATGAATACATTTGATTCGTGTTACAAGGTTCTAAACTGCCATTAAGTTAAAGAAATGGTTATGCAAGAATTTGATAAATATCGATCAAATATTGGATATGATTTACGTAAAATACCTGGTAAAATTGCATTTACCACTGACATGTAGACATCAACATTAAATGGTGAATTATTTCTTGGTTTAACTATTCATTATATTGACCAAGATTGGAATTTTCAACAGTTTCTACTTGATATTATTCTCTTTCAAATTCGGCATACAGGAGTTAATATAGCAAATACAATTATTAATATTCTTAATGAATTCAATTTAACAAATATAACTTTATTACTTACAATAGACAATGAGTCAGCAATGGTATTCTGTGGAAAAAAATTAGCTGAAGAATTTGAACAGGCTTTAAATAGTTTTTCTTTTAAACATTATTGCTGTTCAGCTCATATTCTTAATCTTACAGTTCAACATGGCATGGAAATAATTGACGAAGAAATATTAAATGTACGCAAGTTAATAATAAAGATTAAAAAGTCTGTTTTATTATGTGATGATTTACGTAAATTATGTAATATAGAAAAACTTCAATATCTCTGGCCTAAAATAGATGTAAAAACCAGGTGGAACTCTACTTTTTATATGCTTCAAAAGTTGTAAAGAATGGAAACAGCATTAAAAATGCTTGCAATTAAACATGAAAATATACGAAATTTAATGCTAAATGCAATAACATAGAAAAAAATAAAGGTAAATATATATTAGTAAATATTATATATATTATAAAACAAAAAAAAACTTAATATTAAATTTAATTATTAAAGGAAACACTTATCATTTTGGAGTCTCTTGAAAAAGCAACTGTAATTCTTTCAGGTTCGTCATATCCTACTATAGCTGATGTGCGTTATTTCTTTAATGAAATTAAAGCACATTTAAAATATTGTATTAAAATGGATAGTTTTAACCAGTATGAGTTAGCAAATTCGATAAATCATAAAATTGAAGAATATTAGATAATCATTGATGATGCAACTACAATTGCCTCATTATTAGACCCCTGAAATAAAAGTTCCATTTTTAAAATTGGAGAAGAAACAACAAAAGTAATTAATGCCTTAAAAGAAAAGTTTTCCTTATATATTACTCAAGAAACATGATTACAACCTCAAAAAAACTCTAAATCATCATCATCACTACGGGAATTCTTTTATCAACTAAAAAAACGTTGTTTAGGGGAAACTACTAAAACATCACAAGCTTCCAATTTATCTAATTTTACTTTTACTGAATTAGATCAGTATTTAACTTTGTCATGTGAAGATATTATAGATTTACTTCTTTGGTGATGAGCATATTCAGCTAAATTTCCTATACTTTCACTAATGGCAAGAGATTACTTGGTTATACAGGTAACTAGTGTGGCCTGTGAATAAGCCTTTTCTATAGTAGGTAATACTATTACCAAAACTTAGAATAAGTTGCATCCAGAAACCACAAGAGTATCATTATGTGCCAAAAGTTGGATCAATAATAAAATCGGTGAACAAATTGAAGGAAAATGATGGTTAGTAGCCAATACTTTTTTAAAAAAAAAAAAAATAAATAAATAAATAAAAGGAAAAAAATCTTACCTTTTTTGATGTAAAAAAAATCTCAGTAGGGAAATATGAAATGGAAGAAAAATATTTGTGATTTGCAATTTACAATCGTTAAGATCAATACAATAATAAAACAATAATAAAATTGGTAAACAAATTGGAAGGAAATAATAGTTAGTACCGGGGGGGGACAAAAATATTGCACAGCTTAAAAATAAAAATTTAAATAAATTTTTTATAAGTTACTAGCCATGTGATTTTTATACTGAATAGGTTAGCAGTTGCTTTAAAGGGATATTTGTTTATTGTTTTGATTAAATGTGTAGCATTTAATAAATTCACTT